GTAGTTGCAGCAGTGTTTGTGTGTCATCGTTTGCTGTATGTTTAGAGCTGCATTTCACACCTGTGTGTATCTCACCCGTGTGACGCTGTTCAACCACGTCCACAAACAGACTTCATTACCATCATTTAAGGCAACGTGTGCCAACATTTGCTGTACGTAATTGCTGTGTCTCTTACCTGTGTGATGCTGTTCACTCTTCAAAACACATTCACCACACTATTAAACTTCTTCTCTACCGAGTCTCGGTAATTAATCGTTTATTCACTGGACGGAACAAAAACTCATTATCCAGGAAAAATGAGTTTTAAATTACTTTTGTCTTGGAACAACAAAGGAGGTATCTTAAATGACCATTAAACGCCCTTAGTAACACTGTTTAATGTTTAGAGACGAGTAAGTGTGCGGTTTTCTGCTCACTAACATCACGAGTAGTATGAAGAGGCAGAAGGCTTAGGCTGTCACGAGACGGTAGTGTGAGGCTGAGTGTGTGGACAGTGACGGTGTGAGATTGAGTATGAGGAAAGTGACGTCAATTTGAGTTTCAGCGAAAAGACAGTGACGGTAGTGTGAGACTGAGTATGAACACAATAACAGTAGCGTTAAGTTTAGTATGAGAAAGGTAACACCATGGTTGCTGTATCTATAATCTTATAAGCAAAATACTATACGTTATATCAAATACTTAGATCACCACAGACACATATATACTATAATGTTTAATGACTCGGACAAAAGACTTACACAATAGGAACTCATACGGCGAAATGGGTTATCTTCGAGTTGCTTAATCACAGGTGAATGTAACAATAGGTAGGCAGTGTGGATTACAGGTGTGTGTCATTGTTTGATAGCTCGGCAAGATGCGGTGAGAGTAAAGTGAGTGTTCTGATAGTAACGGCCTTGGTATGAGCGAGTGTTCTGATAGTGATGGCCTTGGTATGAGCGAGTGTTCTGATAGTGATGGCCTTGGTATGAGCGAGTGTTCTGATAGTGATGGCCTTGGTATGAGCGAGTGTTCTGATAGTGATGGCCTTGGTATGAGCGAGTGTTCTGATAGTGATGGCCTTGGTATGAGCGAGTGTTCTGATAGTGATGGCCTTGAGAGCGAGTGTTCTGATAGTGATGGCCTTGGTATGAGCGAGTGTTTTGATAGTGATGGCCTTGGTATGAGCGAGTGTTCTGATAGTGATGGCCTTGGTATGAGCGAGTGTTCTGATAGTGATGGCCTTGGTATGAGCGAGTGTTCTGATAGTGATGGCCTTGGTATGAGCGAGTGTTCTGATAGTGATGGCCTTGGTATGAGCGAGTGTTCTGATAGTGATGGCCTTGGTATGAGCGAGTGTTCTGATAGTGATGGCCTTGGTATGAGCGAGTGTTCTGATAGTGATGGCCTTGGTATGAGCGAGTGTTCTGATAGTGATGGCCTTGGTATGAGCGAGTGTTCTGATAGTGATGGCCTTGGTATGAGCGAGTGTTCTGATAGTGATGGCCTTGGTATGAGCTGATAGTGATGGCCTCGAGTGATAGTGATGGCCTTGGTATGAGCGAGTGTTCTGATAGTGATGGCCTTGGTATGAGCGAGTGTTCTGATAGTGATGGCCTTGGTATGAGCGAGTGTTCTGATAGTGATGGCCTTGGTATGAGCGAGTGTTCTGATAGTGATGGCCTTGGTATGAGCGAGTGAGGTGATCCCAGAGTCACTTAGCGTTTATGTCATTAGTCTGATACTACTACTACACACACACACACACTCCAACTGATTATCACATTGGTCGGGTATAGTATAAGGACTTTATAAGACACTTACATCAATGTTTGCAAGTGCTACATTTAGTCGACAAGTGCACTTAACCAATGATATGCACCAGCGTATCTGTAGTAAGCCCTTGAAGATGTTATACACTTAAGAAAACGACGAGGCACTTGAAGAATGCATGTCAAGATGATCATTGCGTCGAGTGAGAGGAAGTGAATGCAAGCGAGAGAGAAAGTGAGTGAATGAGGATACGAATGAATGAAGACCAAAGGATATGAATAAATGAGAAGCAATTCAAGGAAGTAAGAAGGAAGGAAGGAAGGAAGGAAGGAGGGAGGGAATGAAAACGAGGATGAAGGATGGAGTGAAGGAGGACTAGAGGGAGGGAATGAGAGGAAAATAGACCAACAGTATCCTGGACCGCCTCTAATTCACTCTAATCACGCCTTCCTCCACACTACTAACCACGGCCTTCTCCACACTGCCACATTACTAACCACGCCCTGCTTCGCACTACACCACTACCCACGGCCGCCCACTCACTGGTAACCACGCTCTCCTCCATACTGCCACAATACTAACCACGCCCTCCTCCACACTACTACACACTACTAACCACGCCCTCCTTCACACTGCCACACTACTAACCACGGCCTCCCCCACACTACCACATTACTAACCACGGCCGCCTACTCACTAGTGTAACCACGCTCTCTCCATACTGCCACACTACTAACCACGCCCTCCTCCACACTACTACGCACTACTAACCACGCCCTCCTCCACACTACTAACCACGCGCTTCCCCCACACTACCACACCACTAACCACGGCCGCCTCCACACTACTAACCACGCCCTCCTCCACACTACACACACTACCCACGGCCGCCTCCACACTACTACACACTACTAACCACGCCCTCCACACTACTAGCCACGCCCCTCCCCCACACTAACACACCACTAACCACGGCCGCCCACACCACTAACCACGCCCTCCTCCATACTGCCACACACACTACTAACCACGCCCTCCCTCCACACCACCACACCACTAACCACGCCCTCCTCCACACCACCACACTACTAACCACGCCCTCCTCCACACCACCACACCACTAACCACGCCCTCCTCCACACCACACACTACTAACCACGCCCTCCTCCACACTACTGCCACACACTAACCACGCCCTCCTCCACACTACTAACCACGCCTCCCCCACACTACCACACCACTAACCACGGCCGCCTCCACACTACTAACCACGCCCGCCTCCACACCACCACACCACTAACCACGCCCTTCTCCACACTACTGCCACTCACTACTAACCACGCCCTCCTCCATACTGCCACACACTACTAACCACGCCATCCTCCACACTACTGCCACACACTACTAACCACGCCCTCCTCCACACTGATACACACTACTAACCACGCCCTCCTCCATACTGCCGCACACTACTAACCACGCCCTCCACCACTGCCACACACTACTAACCACGCCCTCCCCCACATTACTAACCACGGCCTTCTCCGCTCACTTAATGTTAGCCAGAGATTTTAGGTTGCCAAGACTGTGGTGAGTTAAAAATATTTCCGTCATTTCTCTCTCGCTCACACCTCATCTATATGCAAACAAAAATGTATTTGAAATTAAAAGATAAATATGTGTTGGCGCGTTATGCAAATTGGTCATTAAGGCAGTCAACACTGATGACAGCTATTGTTATGACGTGTTAAACTAATGTACTGTTATGACGAGCAGTTATGACGTGTTAAACTAATGTACTGTTATGACGAGCTGTTATGACGTGTTAAACTAATGTACTGTTATGACGAGCTGTTATTCTTAATGTGTTGGTATATAGCAGGAATATATTATACAAAAATCTTTCTCGTAATGCTGCCGTCCTCCGAGTGAGGGTGTCAGGTGTCATCCTCTACCTGGGTCCCTACACGTGAAGGTGTCAGACTGGCAGACTCCTCCACCAACGCTACATTAGACTGCGATAGATGATCAAATAGAAAGACAGACTGAAGGGTCTTTATTTCCCTTCTCACACTTGTACAACTTCATTGATTGTTGAACGAACTTCTTGAGTCAATTACCAACTTTTAAATTATATTCCAAGTGAGACAAATTGACTAACTTAATGAGATGGTCTAACACGAAGCTGAATAATAGTTGATTAGTGGGTAATGCAGCCACATTTATTTTTATTACAGTACTTGGGGTGTTTAATATGATATACAGTACACATGGTATAGTAATACACACACACACACACACACACACACACACACACACACACACACACACACACACACACACACATTTCATGGAACATTTGAACGTAAACTGTTGACACTTCGGCAATATTGTCACTTATGCTTATTATTACTAAAGCTGGTGAAAATAAAAGTCTAAACCCACATACAAGATTTTATTATTACTAGAGAACCATTTTATGTTACCCTACGAGACATATATACCTGTCTATGTGTGTGTGTCATGTGTGTAAGCAATGGAGTATTAGGTTCAACCTTTGGTATGTATGTATGTATGTAGTGAGGTTATGTTATATGCGTTTTAACTCCACAGTTTCTGCCTGACTTTCCGATTCCTAGAGTATGAGAGTGAACAATAACAGTATGACTTATCTCTTGTTTCAAAGACCTTGTTATCACACTTTCTTCTTATTCATAGTTTTCCTCCTGTTATCTTCCTTATCTTCTGGTTCACTTCTTCTAGTCTTCTTTATCTTCTGGTTCACCTCTTCTAGTCTTCTTTATCTTCTGGTTCGACCTTCATTAACTATCCCAGACTGGTGTACCCCAATGGCAGTCCTTGGTCCTACTTCTGTTTTGATAATCTTATGAGGGCAGTTATTATTATTCATATACGTATGTTTTGTACATCATATGTCCCGCATCTCTCTCTCTCTCTCTCTCTCTCTCTCTCTCTCTCTCTCTCTCTCTCTCTCTCTCTCTCTCCACTTTTTGTTTCAGCCACCAACGTTCCTCATGGCTTTACCTTCCCCCTTGTTCCATCTCATTTGTCTCTTTCCGTACTATTCCGTTTCTCTCCCCTCTTACTTATTTTTAGACACAATGTATGTTTCACTTCCTGGCCAGAGGACACATGAGGGAGATATGCAGGTAAGAATATAGTGCTGATAACTGATAACTGATAGCTGCTAACTGCTAACTGCTAACTGCTCGTTGTTTTTCAGGTGTGAGTTTGAGGAGTCCACCCCGTCACTACCTGGACCCAAGGTGAGCTGTGTTCTAGATAAGAGATCTGTTTCAACTCCTTCAAGCCCCACGCCAGTCATCACCAGTTGTCACTTCGGTAATTGAGAATATCGTTCAGTGTTTCTTCTGTGATGCTGCGACAAATTGTGAAATAGATTGACGAGGTGAATGTTATCAAGGGAAAAGGTTACAAAATCATTGAAACATCAGGACACAAGTGTTTGATTTCACGGTCTTTCTGGGTGAAGTTTGTTTTGTGTAGTTAATGTTATGGCGGACAATCAAGCCAGATATAGTTCAGAAGGAATAACTTTTACTCACTCTATTTCACGAGGCAGAAGGAGTGTCTCTGAGTCTATTTAGAGGAACACATTCACCCAAGAGAACTGTGATGTACGACCTTGAATGTGACTGAAAATTGCTCATAATTCTTGAGTGACTTAACTTGACAGGTCACCCTCATGACTTTGTGGTGACCTCTTGATCCCTGAAAAACCTCCAGGTCACGATCATGACCTCATGGTGACCTGACTCACACAACCCGCCTGGTCACACAGATGGCGTGTAATAGCTCCTACACCATGAAGGTCTTTGTAAACTGGATCATCTTGTTGTCGCTGGCCAGGACAGTCGCTGTACAAGAACCTGCCAACACCACCAACACGACCACCACTACCACAACTACCACTGCCACTGCTGCTGGTCTTAACGCCACCACCGTTGTCACTAGTACCACCACAACTGTTGCGGCTACCCCAGGTAAGTGCTCAACGTCACCTGTTTTATGGATCATTCCTTACTCTCTCTCTACTACCAGGATCTATGCTATCACCATTGTCAACACATCTGTTTTTATCACCACCACCACGGTCAACACACCTGTCATTACCACCATCATCACTGTCAACACCCTTGCTGCCACCTCCACCACCGCCAACACACTCTCATTACCACTATCACCATTGTCAACAACCACCACCACTAGCATCAGTTATATTACCAAAATTTCCTTTACCCTTATTGTATCTTCTGCTACATGTAACCTTTGTTTATATGTTAATGAGACTACCATACCTTATTACCATGATTACCTGCACCACCTACACAGCTACCACCTTTAGTACCACTAAAGATACCGTAGTAACCGCAGTACCGCTCCCAAGGTCCCAGAAGATCGGTCAAAGAATAATTCTGCATTTTGGGTGAATGTCCCGAGTCCCGAGTCTTAATGATCTTTTTGACTCCTCTCGAGAACTTCATCTTTATGACGCAACTTGACAACTTCAACTTTCTGACCCAACTTAAGAACTTCATCTCAAGAGCCATAATGAAATAGTCTTCTTGTGAGATTAAAAAAGAACTCGCCTCGCCTGAGGACTTACTCGCTCTGGTCACTGTATTATTTCCCTCACTGGTACGTTAAATTTTTTCTTAAATACTCAATAGAGGGATGAGATTTTTGTTTTAATGAACCATTGCACATGTAGACCCGTGAGGTCACATTAGGTTATTTTCATCCCCGACTTGACCTCCTTGACCTGTGCTTGGGGTCGACAAATACATAAACCTAATACCATTTATTGATCGATCTGTGTATAATATATCGCTGAATTATATATTATAGTATGAAGACGCGAACTTCCAGTGAATTAATATATAACTTAGTGTGTCGAGGAAGGTAATTAAGCTAGTAGGCTACGACCGTGTTGAGCTCAAGGTAATATCCCCCTGGGGTGACTCAACTCCTAATATTCAATTAAACGGACATTATATCAGAGAGGATGGTACAGTAACAAAAATCTTAACTGTCTCCTTAACTACCATCAAGGACCTCACGATTGGATAAATAACCGAAGTAAAATGAAAATGTTATTGTGTTTTTTGGTGGAAAAATTTTAAAGTTTATAAATGTGAAATAGTTTCCAGCTGTTTACTGTTTGGCTTCCTCTCGCCCTCGTCAACACTGCTGATTGTCGGCTGTTGTCTTCAGTGTTGAGAGCCCCGAGGTGCTGACACAGTGTTGAGAGCCCCGAGGTGTTGACACAGTGTTGAGAGCCCCGAGGTGCTGACACAGTGTTGAGAGCCCCGAGGTGTTGACACAGTGTTGAGAACCCTGGAGGTGTTGACAGGCGAGGAGCCCGAGGTTGACACAGTGTTGAGAGCCCTGAGGTGTTGACAGTGTTGAGAGCCCTGAGGTATTGACACAGTGTTGAGGCCCACATGTTGGACACAGTGAGAGTCTCGAGGTGTTGAGCACAGTGTTGAGAGCCCCAGGCAAGTTGACACAGTGTTGAGAACCGGAGAAAGCACACAGTGTTGAGAACCCCAAGGTGTTGATGCAGGTTGAGAGCCCCGGGTGCTGGACAGAAACAGAGCCCCGAGGGGTTGGGACACAGTGTTGAGAGCCCCGGGGTGTTGACACAGTGTTGAGAGCCCCGGGGTGTTGACACAGTGTTGAGAGCCCCGGAGTGACGACACACTACTATAACTTAAACTTGTCTTTAATATTTAGAGTAGTACCAGAGATCGAGGAGACATATTTTCAACAACAAAACAATAACAAATTACTAAGTATTATCTGTGTTTACTAGTCAATACACTGTTCATATTACTAGTTCTCTTTATGGTATAGTTCATTATAAATTCACAATAATAGGTTTTACATTATTTTTAAAGGCATTACAATATCTTATGAATCAAGTTTCTGTGTTTATATCAAGTGAGTCGTACTTGTTATAGATTTTTTGTCAATGTCGCTCTTAGTTATTATTATTATTATTATTATTATTATTATTGTTATTATTATTATTATTATTATTATTATTATTATTATTATTATTATTATTATTATTATTATTATTATTATTATTATAATCTGCTATGTGTACAGTAGCTATTCGCCCTGATGGAGGTTTATGTGTTATGTGCACGTGCAGAGAGAGAGAGAGAGGAGAGAGAGTGTAACTACAATGACAACACAGGCTTCTTTAGCAATTACAGTGAACAGCCTTGAAAAAAAAAAAAAAAAAAATACATAAAGCAAAGCCCCCAATTACCGCAATAGGGAAGAAAAACAAATATAAAAAAACAGAGAAAGAAAAGTAAGACAAATTGCAGGGGAGCTACAAGAGCAGTAGAAAGAACTATGTAATCACCCAGGCTCAAGACGGTGGTGACCTTGTCTGACTACACTGCCCGCCCACACTCTGTTGTCTCACCGGGCCCCAGAGGAGGAGGAGGTGGGAGGGGAGGGGGGGAGGTGGGGGTGTAGATGTGCAGTAAGGAGAACAGCGGGAGGAGAAGGAACAAAGAAAGAGAAATAGCAAGATGAACAGGAGGAGGAAGAGGAGCCACAAGAGGAAAATATAGTGGAACAGTGGGAGGAAGAGGAACAGAAGAAGGAAGATGAATAATAAGAGGAATAACGAGAAGAAGAAGAACAACAAGAAGAACAGAGGGAGGAAGAGGACCAGAAGAAGGAAGATGAATAATGAGAGGAATAGCGAGAAGAAGAAGAACAACAAGAAGAACAGAGGGAGGAAGAGGAACCACAAGAGGAATATTACAAGGATAGGGAAGGATAGAAAAGAACAACAGGAAAAGAAAATGAAGGAGGAGGGAGAGAACAGCTAAAAGGAACGGCAGAAGCAAGAGGAATAACAGAGGAATAGGAACATAAAGAAATGAAGAGGAAAACAATAACTAGAACATCAGGAGGAAGAAGAAGAGACGGATGATGATGATGATGATGATGAGGAGGAGGAGGAGGAGGAGGAGGAGGAGATGATGATGATTAATATGAAGAGGAGAGAGAGAGAGAGAGAGAGAGAGAGAGAGAGAGTGAGTGTACCTGTGACTACTAAGCCTTCATCAACAAGGGTGTTTATATAACTTTGGTGTAATCAATTCTTGTTAATTGGATTAAGATAATTCGGTTTAAACTATGGAAACAACGTTAAGACCAAATGATCCTCACCTAGACTAGACAAGTAAAGTTAGATCTGATTAGTTTAATTAGACTAAGTGTTCTTGTCTAATAACGTTTCCCTCGCCTCTCGGAAGGTAGGTGAGGGTATTGTAATTTGTTGTGCGTGAATTTGCACCACTATACCCTCATTACCACACTTTTAGATTCATGGGCGAGGAGCGACCATGGAAAGTTAGCATTGTTTACATTATACACAACTACACAGAGTCATACATTTACTACATTAAAATAAATACTCAAAATTCTTTCCAACTTCTTGAATACTTGCCTCAGCGCGTCGCACCACTCATTGTCTGACACATCAAAAAATTCCCGAGTATCACAGATCATTTCGCGATTGTCCCTGTACACGAAACGAAGCAATAATAATAATAATAATAATAATAATAATAATAATGATGATGATGATGATGATGATGATGATGATGATGATGATGATGATGATGATGATGATGATTGATGATGATGATGATGATGATGATGATGATGATGATGATGATGATTGATGATGATTGATGATTGATGATGATGATGATGATGATGATGATTGATGATGATGATGATGATGATGATGATGATGATGATGATGATGATGATGATGATGATGATGATGATGATGATGATGATGATGATGATGATGATGATGATGATGATGATGATGATGATGATGATGATGATGATGATGATGATGATGATGATGATGATGATGATGATGATGATGAACAACTATTTTTACCTGACTTTCTGGCCACCTGTAAGATGATACAACTTGTACCATCACCTAAAACAGCTTGCACTGTTTACGTTTTAAATCGTTTTTCTTACATTATAAGTAAGTAGGAGCGCAGGTACATAAAACGTAAAGAGGGTAGCTATTAAATCTTCTCGGCTAATGAACGTTTCTGGACGAGAATTATTGATCCTATAGTGTCTCCTCTTACTCGCATATTCTCCATATTGCACAAAGTATAATCAACTTTGACCTAAAATCTATCGTAATATTATCCTTCAATATTTTATTCACGACAGTTGGTCGTTGCTAACATCAGGAAGCCGAGATTACTTTAATTGTCTCTATGTTCTATACGCGGGAAAGATCAGGCGTTGTCATGCCAAGTACAGTACAGTGAAACCTCTATTTAACGGACAATGTGCAGAGGATATTCCGTTATATCGAGGATTCGTCAGATATGAAACCTCCATCTAACGAACTCTATTGAGTTGAAAGTCCGTTATATCGAGGATCCACTAGATGTGAAACCCTCCATCTAACGGATTATATGGAGAGAGAGAAGCCATTTATACGGAATTTCACTGTAGAATCAATGAAACAGATCTCAGGTAAGAGAGCCACGTAACATGTACTCTCAGATGTTTGGTTCTAAATATGTTTGGTAACTGAGAGTAATTGGACTATATTGTCAAAAGGATCTGGTGTGTCATATGAAGATAACAACAACACAATCTTAGCGCCACCTGCTCTATCATTCTAGTAAATAATAAAGATGGAAGAGTTGGATGATGGCGGTGAGGTGGACGAATGTTTCTGAGCTATGGTACACTTCTGACCTCAACCCTTACCTGAGAACAGTCCTTAGAAAAGAAATATATCGTTTTAACTTGCCATTTTTGTTTATGGAGAGAAGAATGTGTATGTGTGTTAGTATCATATTTATTCACAATTATATATAAATAATTATATAATGCCAGAACTTAAATTCTCATCAGGAAACAGAAATTTCAGGGTTTGGATTTTTTGGTATTTCAAAAT